TACTGCCTGCAAATTGGTGAAAGAGATGACCTCTGGGAGGTAGTCCTGACAGAGCAGGAGGCTTGGATCTGTTTTTAAAGCTACTGAAAAGTTAGGCATGAACTTGCAGGTGAGTCCCCAGGGATTTGCACAGCTCCCTAACTCTCTTTCCCATGTTGGGTCCACAGGACTCTGGAAGGATGAGGTCCTCCCTGATGCCTTTTGGGCCTCCTGTGAGCCGGGACCGCGTCATCACCAGCTTCCCTAAGGTAGAGAGTCACTAGGCCAGCCCATTATGTGTGCACTGCTCTCCTGACACTATGTCCACATCCAGCTCCCCCACCTGCACTCCCCACCAGAAACAAGGCAGGTGAACTAGGGAGGCCAGTCCCTCGCCCACAGACCCCAGGGAGTTACCAGACTTCTCGAGAAGCTGGGGTACTTGGCATTGACTTGCCCAAGTTGGGCCAGCAAGTTAAGGGTGACACCAAGAGGCAGTATGCCATGAAGGTTAAGGGCATAGACTCTGCAGCCAGACAGTCCTGGTGTGAATCCTGACTCTGTCATTAAGCTGTGTGACTGTGGGCAAGTTACTCAACCTCTCAGAGCCACTGATACACAAGGATAATTCCTCTCACATCGGGTGTGTAGCTCATGGTAAACTGGAGCTCCCTTGCCTGAGTTGTGGTCGCTGTTGTTTTCATTATTATTATTACTGTTATCAAAACAGCACTCCAGTTTCCTGACGCCAAATCCAGGGTTCTCCCCGCTTACCATTCTGCCTTTGGTTCCTGCTGAAAACTCACCGCTCTCTTCCATCTGTATTAAAATCCGTTATTAATCACAGCCGGGAATGCAAATCAGTACAACCTCCTTAAAGGCAGTGGGACATTATTTCCCAGCACTGCAGATGCCCCTACCTTCTGATCCAGCCATTTGAGGCCAGGCATTGCAGCAATTTATAAAGCAGAAGGTCAGACACAACATAAATATCCTCAGACAGGGGCTGCTTAGACAGCGAAATGCTACTTCCTGACACAGACGTGAGGAAAAACAAGTGCGATGAGAGCCCAAGTAAATCTTTTTTTTTTTTTTGTGAAGAAGATCAGCCCTGAGCTAACATCCGTGCTAATCCTCCTCTTTTTGCTGAGGAAGACCGGCTCTGAGCTAACATCTATTGCCAATCCTCCTCCTTTTTTTTTTCCCCCAAAGCCCCAGTAGATAGTTGTACGTCACAGTTGCACATCCTTCTAGTTGCTGCATGTGGGACACGGCCTCAGCATGGCCGGAGAAGCGGTGCGTCGGTGCGTGCCCGGGATCTGAACCCTGGGCCGCCAGTAGCGGAGCGCACGCACTTAACCGCTAAGCCACGGGGCTGGCCCCCCAAGTAAATCTTTAAGTGAAAATGTGAGGAATGGAGCGTGTGTGTAGTGCACTCTTGTGTGCGAAAAAAGGAGAGGGGAGAAAAGAAATGTATGTGTTTGCTTATACATCCAGAAAATACCTCTGGAAAGATACGTAAGATCCTGCTGTCAGTGGTTGCCTCCATGTGGCTTGGGACTGGCGTGGAGGGAGAAATCCGCTCCACAGAGAGGCCTGTGTATCTTTTGAATTCTGTGCCCAGGCTGGTAGGGAGGAAGGAGGTGACCGTCAGCCCTGGGATTTGGGGTCTGCAGTCATTCCTCCTCCTCCCCTGTCTTCTGCCTCCCCCCTGGAGTTCTTTCTCCACACAGCCACAGAGAAAGCCTTGGTGCCTCAGACTCGTGGACAATTCTCCCAGGATTTTCCATCTCCTTAGAGGCCCAGGCAATTGCTTCCCTACAGAGCTTGACAGTGGCAACCAGGAATGACGGAGACTAGTGTTTAATGAGCCAAAAGGAAGGGAAGCGTGATTGGCACAAAACAGTCCAGGTCTCGTGGGATGAAGGATCCTGTTTACAGAGCAGAACAGGGAGGCTCGGAGAGGTAGGGAGGGCTGCTTGAAGTCACACAGCTGGGCTTGGTGGAGCCGGGACTTGACCCAGCCAGGACTTGACTCTGGCTGACTCCAAAGCTCTGCCTTTCCACTACCCTAGGAAGCAGCCTGGGGCATCTGTGCTGTTTCCACAGAAGGTGAGATTCTCCCCCGACTGCCTGTGGCAGTTAGGGGTCATAGGCCACTGCTGGCCAAGTTCATCCTGTGCCCCAGGGTCACACCACTTCAGACCTGAGAAATTTGCAGTCAGGTGGGGCAAGTCCTTCCCTTTACTCCCTTTACTCATTTTTTCTAATTATAAAACAAATGTGCATTTGACACGTGTCACAGCGTCCTAATAGCTGTGGACGTTTGTTGAGCTCTTAGTGTGTGCTAGGCTGGCTCTGTGCTGATGGCTTTACAAAGAGTATCTCATTTTTTGCCCCCAAGTCTGTGAGGTTTTATAGACAAGGAAATTAAAGCTCAGACATATTAGGCAACTTCCCAGGGTCACACAGCAGGTAAGAGTGGACACAGGTCTCCCTGACCCCAAGGCCGTGCTCTTAAACCACTGCCCAGTTCTGCATCCAAGAAATGTGGAAGACGGAAAGTGCCGTCCGGGACATTTTCCATGCACTTATATGCATATTTTTTTTTTAAAGATTTTATTTATTTATTTATTTTCCCCCCAAAGCCCCAGTAGATAGTTGTATGTCATAGTTGCACATCCTTCTAGTTGCTGTATGTGGGACACGGCCTCAGCATGGCCGGAGAAGCAGTGTGTCGGTGCGCGCGCGGGATCTGAACCCGGGCCGCCAGCAGCGGAGCGCGCACACTTAACCGCTAAGCCACGGAGCCGGCTCTATGCATATTTTTTTAAACAAAAACGGCATCAGAGATCCACAGAAGGTATGGGGAGATCTTGGAGCTAAAAGGGCCCTGACAGCCCACTCCTCATCTCACCCTGAGAGGACCAGAGATGACAGAGGCCTGCGACACGCCTGCAGCAAGGGCACGGCTGCCTGCAGTGAGAACCAGCTGAGTCCCCGCCTGGGCTCTTTGGTCTGGCCTGTCCCCTGCTGCTGCTCCTGGGAACTCACAAGACCCTGGAGTCTCAAGGCTACTGACAAGATAGAGACAGATGTGACAGTAGGATCAGGGGAAGCTAATGAGGCTGCCAGCCTGGAGGCTCGGGAGGGAGGGAATGCTGGGAAATAAGTCACCACCTCGCTGCCCTGCTTAGCTTCGCAGGATGATGGGCCCGCCTGTCTGTCTGTCTGTCTCTTTCCAGTGGTACATGCCAGACGCCTGCCTGCAGCTCAAGGAGCACTTTCACGGGCAGGTCAGTGCCGCCTGCCAGCACAGGAACATGGGCACTATCGGGTGAGTGCCGCCTCAGCCCAGGGTGCAGGACGTTGGGGGAGATGGCGGGAAAGAATGGGTGCATGAATGAACGTGTGAGGGAACAAATGAAACACTTACACAGGCAACCCAGTACAGGACTGAAGACGACCGGGAGTTCTGTCTGGCTGTCCTTAACACACCTCTGCCCTGTAGAACAGCTTTTCCTCCTCTCAGTCAGTTGGGCACATGATTTTTCAGCCTGAGGTCTCAGCACATGTCTATTTCTGGTGTCTGGAATGTCTTCCTACTTTTCAGGTCTCTGTAGAGTGTCAGGTCTGGGGGCCTTCTCTGAACCCCTCTCACGACCCCTGCCCCCAGCCTGAGCTGGGCGGGGCGGCCCTCCTGCGTGCTCCTGTGCCCCAGCCAGGAGCCAGACTGCTTGTCTGGATTCCTCACTAGACCTAGCCCATGAAGGCCAGGGCTGTGTCTGTCCTGTCTCTGCCCCCGTAGCACCTGGCACCGCCTTATTCCTGCCCCTGTAGCACCTGGCACCGCCCTGTTCCTGCAGCACCTGGCACCGCCTTATTCCTGCCCCTGTAGCACCTGGCACTGCCTGCACAGGGATCTTGCAACAGTCACTTCTTCTTATAACAAGCAGGGACAAGGGCCTGCTTTTGCCTTGTCCTGAGGAGCTCACAGTCTGCCCAGGGAGTCAGCTGAGCTCAGAGATGTGGGGAAGCCGCAACAGACGCCCAGCTCTGAGGTTCCCAAAGCGACACAAAGTGAGGCAGGGCTCAGGTTGGAATGGCTCAAGCAGCCGTGGTCGTGGGATGAGAGTAATGGCCCCAATTTGGGATTGCTGGTTCCATACAGGTGCTTCATGAAGATTATCTCCCTGAGCCTTCACAGCAGTGCTGGGACGTGGGGAAACTGAGGCACAGAGGGTACCCCCACAGTACCTCAGCAGCACCTTTACTTGTTCATCTGAAAAGTGAAGTCAGCGCCACCCTGTTCCAGAACTAGAGGCTGCCTGGCAGCAGAGTAGACCCAGCCCCTGCCCTCACAGACATGGCCAGGTGAGCTGCACCAGGTCACAGGTGACAGAGGTGCCCTCTTGCCGTCTGGTCAGATGTTTACCTGTTGAGCTTTGGCATGAGCTGCAGAAACTCTTAGACCATCATCACGAATCCCAGGACAGCTGCTGGGGGAGTGCAGGACACACACACCGTGAGGTGGCGGCTGCCCTCGGTGAACAGGGTCCCCAGAGAGCCCAAGAACCTCAGAGCCGATTTGCCTCAAGCCACAGCCCGGACATACAGACCTGAGTCCTGTCCGTGACATGCCACTCAGCCTGCCTGGCCCTTGCAGACCCCTCCAAGGAAGCGGGTGACAGTAGTGCCCTGGTCAGTGAGTGCCTGCTTGCGAGAAGCAGGAGCCCATCAGGCACACAGCCCCAGGGCTGGGTAGGACGTGCAGGGGCTCTGCCTCTGTGCCTGCGTCCCCTGCATATTGGTGCTGTGTGTGTCACCTCAGTGCGCTCCAGGTTCCTGGCTGCACCCCCCGGCTTGGACACAGCCCCACCTGGGGCTCTTCCGTCTGCTCCTTCCCTCAGCCTCTCCTCATGCCCATTTCTAATCCTCACACCAGGGACTTGGGTCCAGCGGGGTCAGGGGTACAGCCCCAGGGACAGCAGAGTCCCCAGAACAAATGCAGGCTCTCCTACCCTCCCCTTGGAGGGCTGGGGATGAGGATAGACAGTCCAGAGTGTCTCAGCAGGTGGCCCATCCCGTATCCAGTATTGAGGGGTGGCTCATGAGTGGGGAGCACAGGGAAGGAAGGGCCCGTGTGTATGAGGATGTCTTGTGACCATGCCTGAGAGCAACACGGCTGTATTCCTGACAGGCTGAAGCTCTCCAAGGTGGTTGTCGTCGGCGATCTCTACGTGGGCAAGACCAGCCTCATCCACAGGTGCGCCCACCGGCCACACCTCCCAGCAGCAGGTTGTCACACTTTTGCCTGCGAGGCCCAGAAAACATTGTTGTAGTCGAGGTCATGTGGCTGCTGGAAACTACACCCCATGGAGGGGGTGCAAGAAATCAGGGAGATGGCGGGGTCAGGCGGAGAGTGGCATCCCAGGAGCTTGGCATTGGTCACATTGTCCCCCTGGGGCCACGGGCTCACACCTCACTGCCCTTGCTGCAAATGGATACCCAGTTTCTCTGTCTCTGTCCCTGACTTGCAGTGCTTGCCATCTGGGCTGCTGCAGCCTCTCTTCCCCCACATAGTTCTCATCGGCTGTCCATCTGTCCGTCCATGTTCTCCATGGACCATCATCTCTTTAGCAATTCCCTGCAGGTGGACTTTTCATTGCCTCCAGACTCTCAGTGTCACGAGTGAAGCTTCGTGCACAGCCTCTCTCATGACTTCCTCGGCTCCCATAGGTTTTGCAAGAATGTTTTTGACCGTGACTACAAGGCCACCATCGGGGTGGACTTTGAAATCGAGCGCTTTGAGATCGCTGGGATTCCCTACAGCCTCCAGATGTAAGTTGCCATCGTGTTGTGCCATTCCCTGTGTGGCTCATGGGCAGGCTTCACCAGGACCCGTGGGAAAGGCCGCGGCGAGCTCCTCAACTGTGCCCTGTGGTGCTCAGCAAGGACCCGTCTGGGCAAGCAGCCCTGGCGGCTCGTGAGAAACTGGGCGTCCCTCGTTCCCCCAGGCCCTGGGTGCTCCCTCAGTCCTGACAGGTGACTCGTGTTGGTTGTGGGACCTGGGAAAGTCCTCATAGCCTGACATGCCCACCCTCCCCCATCCTCCCATGATGCCCCCACCTCCCCAGGTTCCGGCTCCGGGTTCCCGTTGTTCCTCCGCCTGGCCCTCTGTGATCTCACTTACCAGGCCAGCAGGGTGGCCTTTGGCAAGTCACTTCAGACCTGTGAGCCTCTGTTCCCATCTGGAAGATGGGCCAAAATTCACCCCACTGCCCTCACTTTGCTCCCGCTGCCTCTCCCCCTGTCTTCTTCCCTGCCAGACCCCATGCCTCTGCCTCTTGGTGGCCTATTGGCTTAGGCCTCTCCCCTCTAGTTTCCCTTAGAACAGCCCAGAGTCTCTCCCCTAGGCTCACGCTTTCCCACCAGAGCTCTGGACCTTGCCTTCCCTCTCCTCTGGTACCTGGAGGATGCTGCAGGCCTGCCCACATCTCCAGCCCTGCCCTCTCCTGCATGGCTCCCTCCCATCCCAGGCCCTCCTATGTGGACCCTTCCCCCTCATCACTCTCCTTCATGGCTGCCTCTGCCCCCCCCTTTCCTGCTGGCATTCACCAGGCCCCTGTCCTGGTCCCTTTTTCCCTTCCCTTCCTGGGGTTCACACCTGCTCCTCTGGTTTCATGCTCAATCCTCCATGCCCTGCCTGGGCTGGGCCTGGGGATCCATGGTAATCAGGATGGAGCTCAGCATCTCGTGGACCTCAGCTCCTAACTCTGTCAAGACAGTGCCCCCTTCTTTGAGGACAGCCCCAGTGCAGTCTGGAGCAAGATGGTGCCACTGAATCTCACTCAAGGGAGAGTACAGGGTCAGACCAGAGCAGAAGAGGCTGTGAAAATGCAAGGCTGCAGGACCGAGGGGATTTAGAGCCAGGAGAGCTGAGAAGAGCAAAGAGCTGTGCAGAGAGTGGCCTGTGGCTGGGTTCACATTGTGGCCATAGGCCATATGGAATTAGAGGGCCCAGGACAAGACAGGGATGCTGTCGTGGCTTGGCCTCTCATTGTCCTACCTTGAGGCCATTGCCAGCCACCCAAGTGTCCCTACCTCTAGGCTACCCTCCCAGCTCCCCACCCAGAGTCATCTTCAGATAAGTGAAAGAAAATATGAATGAATTAATGAAAGAATAGTGTCAAAAAGTTCGGCATCATGCTCGATCACTTGAGAAAATTTCAGACTGTTGATGTCTTATTCATGGCTTATCTACTTTTCAGTTTACTGAGAAAAGTTAAATTTTGATCTGTTGAGCTTTAAAAAGAGATGGATTTTCAGACTCAGTCTTACCTATTTTTCTCCTCTCTGGTTCTAAACCAGGACTGGTAGATCTCAGCATGTGCACCCCACTCTACTATACTGTGCCCATGGCAGACATCATTAATCGATTGTTGCATTCTTTTCCATGGAGCCAGGACTCAGCTTCTCCAGAGAGCCAGAACTAACTGATCAGAATCACCCAGGAGATGCAAACCGTGTCCCTGTTAGACACCCCCTCCCCCCACCTGGGGAGGTGAGCTTCCCCTCCACTGCAGTGAGGAATGTGAAGCCATGGCTTGGTGACACATGACCAAGTGCAGAGCCACAGCTGGCGGCTTGGCCTGGAGCCCCAGTCCTATTCACAGGGCCTCTTCTGCAGGTGGCCTTCCACATCTTCAGAGCAAGCACATCAGGGAGCACATTCTCTTTTTGAGTGGCATGGTCAGAGGGACTGAGCTACAACTCCCTCTATCTGGGCAGTGGAACTCCCAAGGCTGTGTCCCCCCACCGTGGGCATGGTGAATCCAGCCAGGGAATTCCCCTGTGGGGCACCCTAGGAAGGGATCATAAGGAATTGGGGGCTGAGGGACGGCTGGCTGGCAGCAGGCACTTCCTGAAGTCCATGCAGCTGGCATGGGCCCTCGGATCTGCCTGCCCCTTGTCCCCCATCCTGCTGGCTCAGACCACTGCAGTCGCTTAATCTGCCATCTCTCTGTTTCCCTTTCTCTCTCTGCCACCGCACAGCTGGGACACAGCAGGGCAAGAGAAGTTCAAGTGCATCGCATCCGCCTACTACCGGGGTGCCCAGGGTGAGCAGCTGGCTGATGGCAGTCGTGGGGCCCTCAAGCACGTGCAGCAGGGGGCTCCCCCCTGCACTCCACAATGAGAAGTGCAGGTGCTCTGTGCAGGCACCAGTGTGTCCTCTGAACACCACTCAGAACACCCCCTGGGCCAGTTCTCTGGGACGGAGAAGCTGCCTTCCAGCCAGGGCCGGTGCTGGCCTCGGCAGTCACACCCTTTAGGGACCCCGGGCTGGTGGGTGCTCCATGTAAGGCTCAGCCCCAGTTTCAGCTCAGAAAGACGCTCAGAGGGGGAAGTGCGTGTCCAGTGAGCCCAGAAAAGAAGTGCAGAGACAACTCCAGGAGGAGGTGGGAGAGAGGCTAGGCCTGAGGGGAGGAGCGGAGGTGACCACCGGAGGACTTCACCCCCAGGCGGGGGCAGTGCGGGGAGGACACCAGGCAGCATCAGCATAAGCTCCCTACTCCAGCCCCCCGTCCCAGGAAGAAGACAGAAAGAGGTTTCAGTGGGAGGTGGAAGAGAAATATCCACAGTAACCCAAATCAGGATCAGATTATGAGGCACAGCTATGTCTACACAGAACTGGTGTAAAACATCAACATTTTCGTTAAGATTTGAAAAAAGCAAAGACAGGAAACAAACCATGAGCCTCTCCACCGTGGGTTAAAATTCAGCTCTGCCACGTCCACTGTGGCCTTTCTCTTCTCTGGGGGGATGACACCTCCTGGGGATAAGTGATGTAAGGCACAGCACACCCCTGCAAACAGCATCCCCAGGCCACCATCCTGCCCTTCCTCAGTTTCCTCCTTCACTTCCACTCCCCTCCACTGGGCAGCGCTCCTGCAGCCTTCAGCCAAGGAGCAGAGGAAGGCCCTGTCCAGCCCTGCTCATACCATCGGGGGCCAGTAGACAGCAGGCCTTTCTGGAATGTCCTCCAAGTGGGGCTCCCCTCAGGACTCCAGCAGGGTCCTGGCCACTCAGGACCAGTGACAAGAGGAGCCGAGGGGGCTGTATCTCCCAGTTTTCTGCGCCACCCCCCCAGCTCCCCAGAAGTTGTTTCCCCAAAGCTGGTTGTCGCTAATCACCTTCACAGCCATAGCTGCTGTGGTGGAAAGTCTGCCCCGCGTCAGGCCCGGCACTCAGAGCTTTTAGAATAGCTGCTCTTGCTTAATCCTCAAGCAACCCTCAGAGCTAGAGGTATCGTCTCACCATGTCACATATGGGGAAACTGAGGCTCTCAGTGGTTAAGGCCCTCACTCAAGCTCCCTTAGCCATCAATGGCAGAGGGGAGATTTGAACACAGGAGCCCACGAGCTCCATGCCCACCTCATCTTGCCCCCTGGATTCCCCACTGTGGCTGGGAGGCTGGGTGTGAGTGGGAGAGGGAGGTGGGAGAGGGTCCTGAGGGGCAGCCATGGGGTGTCTCCTTCCCAGCCTCCTTCGTGGGTTCCAGGGCTGAGTGTCTGAGGGGCCACCCAGCATTTCTGTAGGAGCTGGGCTCCTCTCTGGGCTCCTCCTGGGGAGCAGGGAGCTGCCCGAGGGGACCCCACCATGTTTGCCTCACCTGTCTCTGACCTGGTTGTGGCTTTTCTGCATGTGTGCAGTGATCATCACGGCCTTTGACCTCACTGACGTGCAGACTCTGGAGCACACCAGGCAAGTCTGGGCTTTGCCTCCCCTAGGGTCCCCCTGGGCTCAGGAAGCTGCCTGGCAGGGATCCCCAACCCTGGGCCCATGGGCTGGGCCCCCGATGGTGGGTGTGAGTGACCAGATCGCTTGTCAGAACTGACTGCCCACAGGCCATGTACTATCCAGTATCCTCATTATCCTTCAAGATTTGCGCCTGTCTGCTGAGGGCAGGGCCAGCTCAGGGCGCAGCCAACGCAGTCACATGGGGGCCGGCGCTCAGGAGGGCCTGCACTCGCTTTAATGCTCTGCTGTTGCCGTCTTGAAAGCCTTAATACTTGTTGGATGAGGGACCTCGCATTTTCACTTTGTCCGGGGCCCTGCAAAGTACATAGCTGGTCCTGTCTGAACGGACGTGATTTGGCACTTGCTGTCTTGGGCAGAGCGCTGGTGAAGAGAGCTGGCCACATGACCAATTCCAGGAGGCATCCTACTTCTGCTGAGAATCTCCCAGCTAATGGACCAAAGCCCACTTCACCTCGCTTTTGTTTGGGGCATTCGCATCCAGCATCTCTCAAACCCTGTGAGGGAGGCTGGGGCGATGGTGGGTCAAGGTGCCCTCCCTGCACCTCCTGGCTCAGTGCTCTCAGCCCTAGGGAGGACCTGGGTCTGCACCCCTGTGCCCGGGCCCCTCTAGATGGGTGGGTGCCGTCCCTCAGCGTGTCTCCCCTCTGTGCATTCCAGGCAGTGGCTGGCAGATGCACTGAGGGAGAACGAGCCGGGCTCCTGCTTTGTGTTCCTAGTGGGAACCAAGAAGGACCTTCTGGTGAGCAGAGCAGAGCTGAAGGCCTGGGACAGCCTGGCCCTCCAGAAAATGCATCTGCTTTCAGCCCAAGCTTGGGGGATGGAGGGGGATTCTAACATGCCTAGATGGGAATTTGAAGACCGCAGGCCCAGGAGTGGAAAGTTAGGGGCACTTGAGTGGCCTGTGCTTGTCTCATCAGAGAGGGACAGCTGGCACTCAGACTTGTCTGGGACCGCTGGGGTCTCACCCCCGGGCAGGCATCCCCCACCCTTGCATGGGGCTCCCCAGTCCAGGGTGAGACGGGGAGGAAGGAGGCACAGTGGGAAGCAGGCAGCCACCTACCCCAGGCACCTTCCCGCAGGAGGGCCCGGGAAGCTGGGTCAGCAGGGCCGCTTCTCCCAGTCAGGGACGGCGTGTGAGCAGGCGGAAGCGGAGGCCGTGCGCCTGGCCAACGAGATGCAGGCCGAGTACTGGTCGGTGTCAGCCAAGACAGGTGAGTGGGCGCGGGGCTGTCACCATGGTGGGCATGGGGCCAGCAGTGGGAGGCTCGCGTGTTTCCTTCTGTGACTCTATGGTGTGCCCGTGTCACAGCTAGCTGTGCTGGAGCATGCTGTCTGAGTGGAATCTCCTCGTCTCTAGGGGGGACTGGGAGCCCTGCCTCGGGGACGATAGGAATAGTGATACCTGGCCCTGTGCCACCGTGTTCTCTAACGAAACCACCCCCTGCCCATGAGGCAGGTCCATTTTATCCCTGTGAAGTCACTTCCAGGGTCACAGGGAGGAAGTGGCAGGGCTGGGGCTGGAACGCAGCCCTCTCCTGTAACACTGCACCGTCCTGCCCCTGACCTGTGGGTGCCAGGTGGGAGGACCACCAGGTACAGAGAAGGCCCTGGTAACTGGGGGCTCCCGTCCCTTCCCTGGGAGTCACCATGGAAGACACTGAAACATCACTCACAGTCCCCTAGCCCTCATCCATATCCCACCCGATCTGTCCCCGCACCCTGGGCCCAAGCCCCTGAGCCGCCTTTACCCATAGGCCACTGCTTACGCGGCCCCGGCAAGATGCCACGTCTCCGAGCCTCCGTGTCCTTCTCCTCGGGGAAGCAGGGTGATGCTGTTCATCTCGTTTTACTTTTAACGGAAAAACATGTTTTAAATTACAAAAGCCATAAATACTCACTGTGAAATATTAGAAAATGCAGAGAAGCAAAGAACAAACTGAAAACACAGGTTGTTGGGGGGATGAAAGGAATAATATGCAGTGCCTGGCACAGAGTAGCCCCCAGGGACTTGAGGACTCAGGAATTACGCCCGGTAGTCCTTGCCCCAGATGAGGGGCCACAGTGGACATCTGGCCAGGGACTGGGTGAGGCGGCGGCGGGAGCACTGAGGATAGACGCCGCAGGTGGAAGCGCCGCCTCTAGCCCAACACAAAAATGTGGTAGTGCCAAAGGCCTGGTTCCCTCTGCTCCCTCCTGACGTGTCCCCGGTGCCCTATGAGAAGCTGCTTTCTTATCAGAGTAACAGCACTTACACTGAGAGCCGCCTATGGGCCAAGCAGGATTGCCCTGTGCAGTTGTACAGGTTGGTAGCTGCACAAGAGCAGCGTGCATGCCAGGGACTGGAGCTCAGCCCTGTGCCCGGATGGGCAGCCTCCTCCACCTGAAGGAGGATGCACAAAGGTTCCACAGGGGGAGCCAGTGGCACCTTAATTCTCATGGCTGCCCACTGGACAGGTGCTCAAAAGTTATAAGAGAGCAGGTATCCTTCTGATTGCTACATGTCCCAGCCTGGCCTGCAGGAGGTGCTCAGCAGTGCCTGGTTAGAAGAGTAGACTATGCTGGGAAACCAAGGCTCAGAGATCTGAGGGAGCGGCTGGGGCGGATGTCTGGGTTGAGAGGAGGCTGGAGCCAGGTGGGAAGCCAGGCCAGCCCCTTCCCTCACTCTGCTGCCCTGGGCAGCCCAGAGGTGGGCCACCCTGGCCCCCACACCCCCCCAGCTCCCACCCAAATGCGCGTGCGGGCAAGGGCAGAGGCGGACGGGGTCACAGTGTCCCGTGGGCCCACAGGGGAGAACGTGAAGGCTTTCTTCAGCCGCGTGGCTGCCCTAGCGTTCGAGCAGTCGGTGCTGCAGGACCTGGAGAGGAGGAGCAGTGCCCGGCGCCAGGTCGGCGATGGAGACCTCATCCGTGCGTACAGGCGGCTGGCTCGGGGCTGGGGAGCAGGCCTGCGGCCTGAGATCCACATCCACCATCCTCCCGTCCCGAGACGCAGCCATTCCCTTGACTTGTCACCCCCTGCTGTCCTCCCTGGGCTGTCCTTTTTCCCCTCACTCTGACCTCGGGCCTGTAGCCTCCCTGACCCTGCCTGCCAGCCCAGACTCCCTCCCTGGCTCTCCTTGTCCTGCTGGCAGCCTCCTCATGGGCCAGGCTGGGCTTCCTGGGCTCCGTGGACGTGTCCTGGCTTTGGCTCTCCTAGTCTGTGCCGTTGCCCACTCTGTCCCACCACCAGAATGCATCCTGGGCCTCTCAGCCTGTGCCAGGTCATCAGGCCTTGAACGAGAGGCCCAGCAGTTGAAGCTCACGGCTCTGGCTGGCAGAGTCACCAGCGGGTCCCAGCGGGGGGCCTGCCCAGTGTCAGCTGCAAGTGCTTGGTTGACACCCAGTGACTTCTCCCCTCCCTGCAGGAGTGGAGGGAAGTCCACCCGAGACCCAGGAGAGCAAGAGGCCGTCCGCCCTGGGTTGCTGTTAGCTGAGGCCTGCGTCAGAGGCCTCCACTCCCCACACGCGCACAGACAGTGCCTTCCGTGACTGGAGGGGTGACGTGGATCCCAAGCTCTGCAACGTGACTGTCCACCCACTGTGCTGAGCCCCAGCACTCAGCCACTTCTGTTTAGTGGCTCAGGAGCCAGGAAAGGCCCCCTCACACTGCCCAGTTGGTGGGAGCACTGTGGTGATCATCTGGAAGACCAGTCACACCTCCAGAGTTGCCAGACAGTCCCCTCTGGCCTTGAGACACTTGTGCCCCATGGCCCACAGCCCTCGCCCTCAGCACACATCAGCAGTCCACTTGGACACTCTTCCCCAGCTTTCCTGAGTTGGCCTCAGAATCCTTCTCATCTCAGTGGTGCAGGCAAGCAGGACTTATCAGAGTTGGCCATGAGGGAATGCCCACCTACCATCCCTGCTTGGGCCTTTTCTGTCATCAACAGGACTTGCAGTTCTGGGCCTCGGAGCCCCAGACCTCACTGTCCACTCTCCCTCTGCCACAGACTCATGAGGTCCCTGGACAGCCCTGCCTCTCTGGAGGAGGATGGACGAGAAGGTCTCTCAGGCCCCTTCTGGCCGAGGGACCGTCTCTGGCTCCCCCATGATCGCCAGGTCCTGCCCTCCTGGTCAGTGGGCGAGGATAGGCAGAATAGGCCACTCGTGCCCACCTGGACAGTGAATTTCCCCAGCCGTGCTGCAGGAGGAAGACTGCCCAACTGTCCCCGGGGGAACTTGCTGCTACATCCCATGTACGTGTCACTGCCTGGCTCTGCCACCAGCAGCAGTCACCCAGACTCTCCTGGCCTGGCACCCACTGTTGCCCCCACCACCTCTCTCTCCCACCAGCCTGCACAGGAAGGGCCTGGGGCCAAGAAAGCGCTGGGCCTTTCTTGTCAGGACCTTTGTGATGGTCCAGGACGCATCTTTGGAGGACATCCAAAGTCCTCCGGAGTCTAGCGTGCTCCCTGTCTCCACCACCCACTCCTGCACACTCCCCCCCCCCCCCCAGTTCCCGCCCAGAGTGCCCTGCCCTCCTCCATGCCCATCATGTTGCTCCCCAACCCGCCCCACACCCCACAGCCCTGGGTTTGCCCTCTCATCCTCGCCCACCTCGTGCCATAGGCTGGTGGGCACGTCTGGCCTCCCACCTGCTTCTTGTAGACAGCGAGCGTTTTTTGGGCAGCCTTGCTGGTCAGCGCCATCTTCTGGTGTCTCAAACAGTGCCTGGCACACTGCAGGCGCCCGGTGGATGCTCATCGGCTCACAGCGATTGCCAAATATCATTGCAGAGGAACACTGGCATCTTCTGTTCATTCCCCTTTCACCACATTTTTAGCTCTCTTTTTTTTATAGATATGAAAAAATACTTCTTTATATAAATCATTCTTAAAGCAATTACGTTCATGCTTATTGTAAAACAAGACAGTGCAAAGCTTTGTATAAAATGCAAAGTGGAAGTCCCCCTCCAGTCAGTGGCACTCCCTGGAAGGAAGCGTTAACAGCTGGTAGGATTCCTTCCAGACTGTTCCTACACGAGCTTGTTTGCTGTTTAAACAGAATGACCTCTCGCCGCACCTGCTGCCTGGCAGCCTGCGTTTTTGATGACCTGCCGAGGAGCCCTCACTGTGGGCGCACGCTGAGCCTGCTGGTTCCTTTGGCAGCTGCCAGTTATCCTTCGTGTGGCTGGCCCATAGTCCGCCTACCCTGCCCCGTATGTGGGCCATTTGGTTTGTGTCCAGCTTTTAGCTTTTACCAAGGTGCCACAGTGACCATCCTTGTGATTACAGCTTTGCACACTCCAGATTCCCCAAAGGGGCCTTGCTGGCCCTTCTGTGGACTGTGGCCCCGGCTCAGTCCACTGGACACAGTCTCGGGTGGCAGGCCGCATTGGGGGTACATCAGGACCAGGTTTGCAGCACACGGCAGGAAGTGTCGCAGGATGGAAGAGCCCGCCACAGTAGGCTGGTGCTCTCCACGGCTCCTCCCCTCTCCCCTTCAGGCCCAGGACGGGGGAGGGGGGTGCAGTAATGATGCCCTGCTATTACTAGCTCCTTGGCTAGAAACATGCTGTCTCCTGTGCTCCCACCCTCTGTAAATGGCCGTTGATTAAACTCTCCCTGTGTTGCCCGCTGTGTGTGCTCAGTTGTTTCCCACCGTTGGTGTGGCGTCTCCTCCATCAGTATCACTTCAGTGTGGTCCCACTGATAGGACAAGTCACCAAAGACATTCCCAGCAAACACCTCACGATTAGGCCGTAAATTTCTGCAGGGACCCAGGACCGCGTGCAAGTGCTTCAGAAACGTCTTGTCCCTCTGCCCTGTCCCCCCGCCTCCCTGCTCTCTGAGCCCGCCCGGCTCTTGCCTGGCGTTCACGGCTCCTCACAGTCCCTGGCCCACCCCGCAGGGCCCCCATGCTCCAGCCCCTGTCCTCAGGCCCCTCCGCTCCTGTCACGACGCAGTCTTCACAGGTGCCGGGCCCTGTTCCGGGCCCTGTGGCTCAGGCGCCTCTGCTCCAGGAGGACTTTGTGGGCACCCCCACAACTCTTGCAGCACTTGATACCTTTGGGTGTGGTGGTCCATCTCTGGGCTTTCTCCCCTACTCGTGGGACCTCAAGAGCCAGGATGGTGACCTTGTGACCTCTTCTCCCCAGCACCTCCTGGAGGAAGGGCCCACGATAGGTGCTCAGTAGATGTGTAAGGGAGGCAGGAAGGTTGCTGGCTACTCCCAGCAGACGTATTTCACTCTGATCCAAGATGCCCCCTGCTCGAACCGTAGACCTGCCTGGGGAACAATCCTGTGTGTGGCTCTCCTCAGGGGCCCGAGATGGACGTGCCTCACTGCTCACTCAAAGGCCCCTGAAGTCCTGTCTGGAACAACCAGTGAGGGCTGTTACGGGCTCAAGTGTAAGTTCTGTTCTTAGGAGGAGCTTGGTAAGAGCCAGCCACAGAAAATTCCAGAGGAAAGCTTTGCAAATCTAGGGAAGGAGCCTCATGCAAAGTGGAGAGCGTCTGGACACAGGAAAGAATTGGACCTGGGATGTGGGGGCAGGAGAGTGTTTGGGTTATTTATAGCTATGTAACAAACCACCCCAAAACTTAGTTGCTTAAAGTAACAACTATTTATAATTTCCCATGATTCTATGATTTGACCTGCAGTTCTGCTCAGTGGTTGGTGGCTGGGGCCCTGGAATGACTGTCCAGTGGCCCAAAATGTCCTTGCTCCTATGGCTGGCAGTTGGTGTGGCATCTGCCTGGGTGTTTGGCAAGGCCTCTCCACATGGCGGCTTGGACTTCCTCACAGCATGGTGGCTGGTGTCAGAGGAGTGTTCCAAGAGTACAGGCCCCAGTGGGTGTGTGCTCATCAAGCCTCTGTTTGCATCACACTTGCTACAATGGAACATTTTGGCCACATGTCCCATTGGCCAAAGCCCCAACGCAGGGTGGGAGGGGACTACATAAGGGTGTGAATTCTGGTAGAAACGACTCACTGGAGGCCACGACAGGGAACTGGAGGTGGCGGGGTTGGGGGGAGAGCGGCGAGAGATGAAGGGCTCTGGCAGTTTCTGCTTCCCCTCTGTCCTGTGGCACGGAGAGGCCTTTCTTGCCGTGGAACAGCCGCTTACCCAGACCTCTGCCAATGAACTTGACGTCGAGGTGCTTCCACGGGGAAGCCTGCTTTGGCCTCCTCCGCAGACCAGGGCACCTTTCATCCGGTCTCCTGACCGTCAGCGGCCTCAGCGGCCTGCCTTGTTCACTGCTGCGTCCCAGCACCAGCCCGCCAAGAATCTGAACGCCTGAGTGACTCAGTCACGTGGTGCAGCCTCACATGATTTATATACAACTGGAACTTTCCATTTTGGGTCCCAGGAGAGGGAGGCAGGAGCGGTGGTCACCCCTGACCCCAGCAGGCACCACTCCAACTCACTTGCCATGGAAACTCTGGCCCAGCATTCCTACAGCAGGGGCCGTCCAGGAGTGGGGCAGGCCTCTTGGAGGAGTAGCAAGGACCCCCCTTTACTGAGCACTCAGTGTGCAGAGAAGATGCTGTTTAATCACAGCAACCCTGTGGGCTGTGTATCCTGACCCTCCTGTCCCATCTAACAGGTGAGGGGACCAGGCACAGGAGCAGAAGTGATGGGATGCATCTGAGCACCTTCTCCTCCGAATTCCTGGTCCCTCCTCTGCCTCCGCCCCTCATCCCAGCTTGGGGCCTGATCCCAGTGCGAATCCCACTCCAGGCAGCCTCGCCCGTGGGCACTGTGTCCGTTACATGTGTGTCCCCAGTCAGGTGGTCCCAGCACTCTGCAGCCCAGGGTTGTGACCCTGAAAAGGGGTTTATTTACATGGCCCCAACCACACCCAGCCCTCCTCAGGGTCCCCAGCAGAGCCAGAAATGAGCTCATCAATGCCTTCCCCCATGGCAGCCTCCTCCCTGAGCCCCCACGGTTTCAGTCAGTCCTTCTCCAGCCCCCACAGCTTGTACTGAAGGCTCTGCAGTGACCTAGAGCAGGGCGCTGGCTCTCAGCCTCCTTAATCTTATGCCCCGGGAGCCTGCTTGCCCCCCCTGCCCCCAGCCCTACTGCAGCCCCTGGAGGGGAGGGGAGACCACCATCCATTCAACTCCCATTCTGACCTGGGGATGGGAGAGGAGCCACTGCAAGACTAACCTTACCCTCCAGAGGGACCCAGGGCATCTTAAGCCAGGGACCTAAGGTTACCTAAGATCTAGGGAACTGGAACACAGAGACGACAGAGGATCAGTTACATTCACATGTTCACACGAATAAGAATTAGTGAACCTGAGAGAAGGCATGGGGTGGAGGGAGCTTTCAGAAGAAGCAGCACACAGCTCAGTGAGGGCCCTCCTCTTCTGAGGGAGAAGGGGCTCCTCGAGACCGGGGGGCCCTGAGCACACTGTCACCCAAGAAGCCTGCAGCTTCAGGCACTGCCCTGAGATGAGACACCCTCCCAGCAGCTCCCCGGGCTCCCCTGCCATCTGCTGTGGCCTCTGAGTGTCATCTCCCATATGTCGGGCCTGCCCCTGAGGAAAGTTGATCGGCAGATGGGAAGTGTGGCTGTCACACCGC